ATATATATATATATATATATATATATATACATGATATGAAGAATTCCCCCCCTTTTTTTTAAGGAAAGATTCACTACAAGTTTCAAACACCAGGTCGTATTGCTTTTGTAGGATTTTGCATGTTTATGCTGCTTTCTTATTGTAAGTTAGGATGTGTGTTGAGTCAGACTTTCATTATGTGTTGCCTGAAGTATTTTTTATCTAATTTTTATCCAATTCAACATTTTCAAATATGTGCAAAATGTATTAAATACTAAAGCATCCAGGCATACTTTTACCGAAGTACAGCAGCTATGATCCAAATGTGAGATCAACATGTTATTGAAAGAATATTGTTAAATGTCTGAAGCTATGTATAAAAGTATTTTTAAACATGTATTTGTGTTACTAATTTAAGATATTATTTGTGGACTACAATAACTTCCCACTGTTTAATATCTTTACACTGCAGCGCTCGTCCAGTGTACCTGAGCATCTCTCACCTCATTACTCGTCCAACTTGGTGGGTCAAATTTCAAGTCATGTTGGACAAACTGTACAGTCTCAGCTGTCACCTGGTCAGCAGTCTCCATACTCACCCTTATCTCAGCCACCATATCCCAGTTCAACACCTCCTGCTAGTTCATATCAACAACAACAACAACTTTCACCACATCCAATGCCAACATATCCTTCTAGTGGTCCAGGAAGTCCTAGGTCACCTCATCTTCAAACGGTGTCTCCACAGCCAGGAGTAAGCCAGACACAGTGGACTCAACATCCTGCAATATCGCTGCAGAAACAGAATCCTATGTTGAATGCCCAGTTATCACAGGTACAGACAAAATAAGTTTACTAACCTTAAGTGCGTGTTTTTTTGTTAATCCAACATTCTCGTTGCCATCACGAAAATGCTATGTTATCTTATCAGAACTATACACCTGGAAAAAAGTTAAGCACCCCCGTGTTTTTTTCAAGTGATTCAAATTCGACGTTCTTGTGACTGATTATAAATTACCATTCAATCTAAACATGTTTATCAAAT